CTGTAGTACTAGTACCTGCACAGGTCTGACTGTAGTACTAGTACCTGCACAGGTCTGACTGTAGTACTAGTACCTGCACAGGTCTGACTGTAGTACTAGTACCTGCACAGGTCTGACTGTAGTAAATGCACATGGATTCAGCCCTGTCTCTGGTCTCTGTGCTGTCTCTGTTAACATGTAGCCTCCAGGTGTTGGTAGCGGCTCTTCTGGCTGCCAGGTACAGTGGGCGGAGCTCTCCAGTGGACAGATGGGTCCTGCTGTGGCTCTTCTATGATGTCATCRTCCACTTGACTCTGGTGAGAGAAGTTTGTTCTTTTCTTCTTGTTCTACATCTCAGTATATCTGATTTTGTTTATAGGAGGGTCTGTTTGATTACATGTCCGCGTTTGTTGTTTATTTGTTTACATGTGGAYAAATCTGTTTACATATTTGTTTTTTGTTTGTTTGTTCACAGAAGGGTCTGTTTACATGTCTCTGGTTGTTTTGTCTTCTAAAAAGTTCGTTCATTTACATGTCTGTATTTGTGGTTACTTAAATGCAGAAGGATGTGTTTGTTTACATCTCTCTGGGTGATACTTTTTGTTTACAGGAGGGTCCTTTTGTTTACATGTCTCTGGTCGGGACGGTGGAAGTGTCTGAGGGTCCACTGGCTGAGTTGTGTAAGTTTATGTTTCACTTCMCTTCWTGTTGTATTTTGGAGTGTTGCTGTWCATGKCTGTGTAGTATTTGTACTTTGAAGTACTGTACTGTCACTGTTTTAAATGAGTACAGGAGCTCTGACAGTTTTTAAAATCAGCAGCTTGATGTGAAAATGTCACATGACTTGTCATACACACATGACACCTCTTACAGGGACTAAAACAGTTGACTGGCTTCACAAGTTGCAYGTCTGAAGGTGTGGGTCTCAGGTGTGTGTAGTGTGGCCTCAGGAGGATCATGATCATCACATGTCTGGAGTTGTGTGGCATTCCAAGCTTTGTAGACCTTCATGAGAGACCTCATCAGTCTAATCTAATGCRGATTAGACTGGAACAACTCACCCCTCACAATGGAGAGTCACTATGGCTCTTTGTTTAACCGACTCACAGAGAGATGTTTTAATAAATGCATGAAGCCCAGATGGTTTGTGTGTTTTTAACGTTTTTTTAATAAACTGAGTAAGAACATATGATTTAAGATGGCCCTTTCAGCCTGATGAAGAGCTGTTCAAACAGTCATCTGTTGCCAACAAATGAGTCAAAGGTGAAGTCAGGCAGTGTTCAAGATGTTTCCTGGTTCTACCCCATGATTGCCTGCATGGCGGCTGAACACCTGTCGGTCTCTCACCTGCAGGGAAGGAATACGGTAAAGCTGACAGTCGTTGGTTGGTTTCTGACCCAACCATCGTCTCTTTGGAGATTCTCACCGTCGTCCTCGACTCTCTGATCGCTCTCCTGCTGATACATGCCATACAGAATGACAAGTACTACAGGTAACACTGCTGAATAACTACAGGTAATATCAATTCAGTTCAATTCAATTCAATTTCTTTATTCATTTCATTAAAACAAAACAAATAATTTTTTATACAATTTACAATAAAAATATAAAAAGAAAAATTAGAAAAAAATATATACATCCTCATGTTGTACTCATTTGAAATGAAAATCCATGAATTC